TACGGTACGATTCAAATTCGCGAAAAATACTGATCTGCATAATCGTACCGTACTGGTCTGGCGAATCGTACCGTACCCTCTAAATATGGCGATCGGTAATATATAATATATTCATATGAGCACGGAACACTTTATGTTTGGAACTTCTCCAACTTCAATTGTAATATCATAATATTCATCATCATCTAATATTTCGATATAATTTTAGATTTTAAAAAAACCGTGGACATTTTTTTTTTAAGAAAAAAAAATATTGTATTTATTAATGGAAAGAATATTTGATAATTAAGAAAATCTTTATTTTATTTTTTTTTAAAAAAAAAAATTCTGACGTAACTATTTTCTCTAATATTCTTAATTGAAATACTGCAAATCAACTTAATAGTTGTTTTTAATAAAACTAATGAATAAATTTACTTAATTCACTGTAAAAAATATTAATATTCTCATCAATTACACGGGTAGGGATTTTCGCGATTAATCGTTTCTCGAGATCGATTCTAAGATTTACTGTAACTTCGGTTTCGATTAATCGATCCACAACGATTTTTGGTCATAATTGTTTTAGGTTCGACCAATTCGCGATCAAATAAAATCTTGTGCCTCTTATCTATTTCGATTCATAAAAAAATTTTTTTTTTTTTTTTTTGATTTGCATTTGGTACTTTTACTTTTAAATTTAACATTTTTATATAAAATTAAATTTTTTTTTTTTTTTTTTGAATTGTATATTATTTTTAATTAATTAAATTTTTAAATTTTTTATTTTTTTCTTAATAACGCTCATTAGTAAATAAACCGATATTTAATTTGTGCCAATAATATTTTTAGAGATGAAATCTTTATGAGTTATATACGCTTAGCCTTTTTATTTTGTTAATTTTTTTTAAAATTGTCTAAATTATTGCGACAAAATCGATCACGTGAATTCACTTTTAGCCAATAAAACTGACAAATTTCAATGCGCCCCTAAATTTGTCTCGCATTATTGTTATGGTTTCACTTTGTTTTCCTTGTCCAAAATTATAAATAAACTCGGAACTTCAAATTTTTTTTTTTTTTTTTTAACGTAAAATGATGTCGAATAAAAAATATATTGAATGGTTAGAAAAATCTATTGCTAATAAATATGTCAACCATTTTGAATACTCTGAATTTCAAGATTTTCGACTAATAGGAAATGGTGCATTTGGAGAAGTTATGCACGCTTATTGGAAAAATCAGGGCTGCGATGTTGCATTGAAATCTTTTAATAATAATAAAACGACTTTGAAGAAT